CCACAGGCCACAATCCGCAGTCCACAGTCCTCTGGCCGCCCCCGACACTGATGGATTACAAATATCGTGCCTGCCGTTATCTACCACCTCGACCTAACACAAATATTGGCTTATCGAAATATTTTGTTGTATTTTACCAAATAAAATTTTGTGAGTTATTGATTACATATTTACAGCGACTTCACTTTCGATTTCTGTATAAATATTTGCACAATTTAACGGTCAGCGGCAGCCGTTTATTGACTATAGGATATTGACAAGTCGAAGTCAGTTGATTTTGCTGCCCCCAAGGTCTTGACCTGTGATGTACTTTGCTGCGCTATCCTATGCTGAGGCAGCAACATGCCGCAGAATGTCAAAAATATATACCGGCGACAAGTTCTGCAAGGAATCGGTAGGTAAGTTGTAGGAGACGAGAGACAAAAGATGCCGACAACATACGCAGCCCAATGCACAGCACTGCACCAAATTTGCAGCCCAGCAACATGGCTGGAAGGTATGTCAGCAACATGTTGTCTAGCAACAACTGACAATTGCTGACTGACTGCATGACTGACTGACTGAATGACTGCCTGGACAGGTAATGTCTGTTAGCGGTACCTTTAATTGCCTTGCTGCCCAAAATCCATACACAAAATGTCAGCCCAAGTAGTAGCAGCAACAACAACAGCAACATCAGTAAGTAGTAACTGACAGCTTTGTTACAGCAACAGTAACAGCCATCGTAGAAACAACAGCAGTAGCCAGCCAGCAATTGCTGCGCCAGCATTAATATTAATTAAATAAACGTTAATTCAGCGCATTAATGCGTAATAAATAATGTCACTCTGAGGCAAAAATTAATGCATAAACGCTACTTATCGCTGCCGACGCCGCCGCCACGCACTTATCTGTGTCAACACAGCGCCAGAGGCTGCAACTGTGGCAGTAACCACCAGCCAGCAACCAACAGCTGACAAACGCATTGTCAATAGGCCATGCCAATAGCTATATAGTAGATCCGTTTGGCAGCAGCTTGGAGTAAGGAGTTGGGAATCTGGAATTGGGAGTCGGGAGTCGGGAATAAGCAGTTGATGGCGCGTTGCAATTACATGTCTGTGACAAGAATTTTAAATGAAAATCACCAGTTGGCGAACTGAGCACAGTGGACAAATGATTCAAACTTTCGCATTACGTGTGGAAAATGTATAAAACTGTATATATAGTACTGACAACAGAGGCGCCATGCTTGCAGGCTGCACTCAATGCACTCTTCGCTTTTCCGTTTGTTTTTTGTGCGCTTTGCATGCCCCGCCAGAAGGTGCCTTCCATGGCGGCAAACAACGGCGACGCATGAAATTAGAAAGGCATTATTGCAAATTTCTCGCTTTTGAGGTTTATTTATCAGCAATTTGTCAGTAAGTGTTTGGCCAGATGCAGCGGCTCAGATTAAAGTACCCGTGTGTCCGTCTACTTTCTAATACAATTCACTGACACAGTGCATTAAAACAATTACATGAATAGATTGCAAATATTAAACAGACAGCTCTGCAAACTGATTGCCAGTAGGTCAAACGATAATCTAAGGGCCTTAAGCCATGTGACATATTCGATGGGCAGTTTTCAGATCAGCAGAACAATACAATAATAAAGTTAAACATGTTAGGAGCAATTTCTTGGTATTCTCGTTATTTCTTTTTTTATACTTAAAATAAATTAAATAATTCAGGGAAAAATACATAATATTAGACAATATCTAAAAGCTTTCTAACTTTTGGAATTTTCAAACAAAATGTGATAAAAACCTCAAGCTTATTTACAACCCATTTACACTGCTCTAAACCATTTCAGAAACAGCTTAAACGACAATTTAATGCACTATATCGCTGTTCTCGTTGGCTGTACTCACACCTTAGTAGAAATTGCCCAAGTAATTTATGGTCAAACATTTGGCCATGTTGCTGCCAAGCAATAAGTGCATTAGAATAGCTTGCAGGCCCGACCAGGAGCAACATAGTTCAGCAGCAAGCTGCCTTTAGCGCAGTTAACAAATAACATCAACTTATTAAATAAAGTTTCAATTCATGGCAGCAACAAAACTGCAAGAAGGCAACGCATCCAAGCGAACAACGGCTACCGTACTGTGAATCTGGACATTGGGACGGTGAACGGATGGTGGATGGGGGTCGCTGCAGGCGCAGCCACAATAAATCATCACATCGAAGGCAATGGCGCAGATTGGGAGACTGGGGGGTACGGGGCACATGGCTGTCTGACTGCCAAGTAAGTAACTGCGGCCAAGTTATGTGGCTTCATTGTGGACAGAATGAACGCTTTTAAGCAGACAATTGCAGCCTGCGGCGCAGTAAGAGCAGCAGCACCAGCAGCATCGGGAATAGGAACAGCAGCAACGCCAACACGGCAGCAGGTAGGCAAAAAAAAAAAAAAAAAAAAAAACAGGAGGCTGTGCCAAGAGATTGGTTAGCCACTCTAGCAGCTCCCACTGCCCCATTGCCATTGTTCAGCAGATCATTGTAGCGCTCACAGTTGCTCCTTGCTGTTGCTCGTGCTTTTGCTGTTGCCGTTGCTACACATTTTCGTAGGCCGCGTTGTGCACATAAATCATTGACTAGACTCCAACTGCAAGTTGAGATTGCTTGCTTGGCTGCAATATGAGTTAATTTTTGCTAGCACCGAAAGCGTATTTGCGATTTGCGTATTTGTCAACTGCAAATTACAACTTTTTCCCACACGATTGCCGCCTGCCTTCGCTTGCTTGCCTGGCTGCCTATCGCAACGTTGACATACAACACATGTGGGTGTTTGTTGCAATTTATGGCACGCCTGGCATTATAAATTTTCTATTAACTCGCCAGACGTCAGCCTGCAAACTGGGCGAGAGTGAGATTTGCATTGAATGCCGGGGCAGCGTGAGGTCCCCACTGCCTTTCTGTCTCTCTGTCTCTCTGTCTGTCTGTCTGTGATAGCGCATTATCTGTTTAAGGCTTTAATTTTGTTTACCAAAAATGTACGCAAAATAAGTGCGAGAGACACAGAACGCCTTCTACGGTCTGACGTTGCAACGTCTCTGGACTCGCACTGACTGCATTTGCATGCAATTGACTTGAAAGGCGAGTATTCTCGTGAATGTCCCTGATGGCAATATTGCTGCTGTTGCTGCTACTGCTATTGCTGCTGCATCTCATTGAACCCGACAAATTGGTCATAATTTTTAGCAACTAAGTAATCCTAATAAACATGGCCTAAACATTGTGCACCTGACATTAAGCTGCCAAGCATACAACTATTTAGTGAGAGACAGAAATAGAGAAAGGGGAGAGAGAGAATGAGAGGAAGGGGGAAGACAGAGACATTGGTCTTGGACTTGGGCAGTGGGCAGTGAACAGCCAATAAGATGCATTTATCTGCGCATCGATCAGCTATAAAACCAGTGTTCACAGACAGCGCAAACTGCACAACTGTAGCGCAGCAAATCGATTTGGCCAAGCAGTCAAACATCAATTGTAAATTAACAGTAGTTAAAATCCAAATGAATTTGCGACTGCTGCCAATTTATGCAGCTGGCTGCTTATGCCGTTTAATCTGCCGGTTCAAAGGTTGTGCATACACCAATCATCTGATTTATGTGCTAGCGCTGAAATATCATCAAAGATACAACCCAATCGAACGGATGATGATGGCTAAACGGGCGCCAAAAGGGGTGCTCATATCCATAAGATACAAACGCAGACCGAGTCGTGTTTCATTTTTTCTGTTTTTTTTTATATTTTTTTTTTAGCTCTTGATGCCTTTGTTCAATCAGCAATTCACCGGAGTCTGATTGGTTTTCAAAATTCACACGCTGCGTGGTGCTGCTTATCAAGCCAAAACAAAAACAACGAGCAGCAATTGCAACTTCTCGTATGTGTATTCGTCAGACACAATTTCTTGACTATGCACGAGCTTCAAACTCTCACTCGGACCGCTGGTTGCCTTGACCGTTGGTAAACATTAATATTTCATTTATACACACTCACACACACACACACACACAAACAACACCTCATTGCGTCACATGCAAAACCCTTATCGCTAAAGTATCTGATGGATACAACTCTCATGTACTTGTGTTATATGAGTTCTTGAGCCTGTATGTATTTGTTTGTGTTTGTGTGTGTGTGTATGTCTCTGTGTTGTTATCTGTGGGTGTAATTTTCTCACGGTTCCGTTTTCAGTTACTTGGACTTAAATTGCGTTTGCACATTTCCCTTTTTATGATTTTTGTTTTTTATTGCCTGCTTTGGCCTTTTCGCCAACACTTTTGTGGGTGATTACGGGAGAAATAAAAACACTGCACAGCACCTGAATAAATATCTTATCAGCGTTTCATTTTTCAGCGCTTTATATCACATATATTAGCTTGCGGTTCTTGGTTCTGAGCGCCATGAAGAAGCGTGGGAATGCGCTAAAATTTGTTGCAATTTCAAGCAGTTATCGCTGCCGTGGTTTTGGCAGTTTGCTTATTATCACTCCACTATCAAGTGTTAGGGGATTGTTTGTGCTTAGTGCAAATAAACATGCAAATCGTTTGCGGTGAGAAATGTCAACACAGTGGAGGCGATAAATACTTATTAGGTAGCAATCTCAAGGTCAAATGAATTAACGGGTGTTTAACAATCATTTAGGGACTTATATCCTAGGGAAATTTAAGAAATTACATTAGTAATTTGTTACTACTTTAACCAGTTTACGATGAGTACACATTGAATTTCTTTTGTAGATTTCTTGAGACCATGAAAAACTATATTTACATATCTATCCAAATTAGAATAATGTCATGTCAATTAAGCTAATTTGTATCGACATAAGTATGCAATACATTTAAAATTAAAGTGCCTTGTGTAGCAATTATAACTATTTCATGGCATACTCTTAGGCTCAAGTTGAAAAATTTCAAGTCTGTTGACATTTAGAGGCCTAAATTTTGTATCTCAATGTTTTACAATTAAAAGACGTTGTATAAAATTGCATTTATCTTATGTATTTTTTTGTACTGTATATCTTTCAATTTTTATAAATATACAGCAGAAATGTTTTTGTTTTAATAATTTTCTTTTAATCAAAAATTTATTTGCGAATTGTGCAATGGTATCTTTTTGGATAGGTAGTATTTATATGTATTAAATAAATCATGAATAATAATAATAATAATAGGGCATAAAAATAGGGAAAATCAATGATATTTTAATAAACGAAAAATATAACAAAATGTGTGTCTGTCTGTGTTTTACTTGGCTACCTGTTTGTCTATTTTGGTGTGTAACTAATTTAGTTCAGCTAGGATCTAATTACAACTACTATAACTACGATATATTTTGTTGTCAAAAGATCACTACGTTTACGCAAATCACTTTTAGAGGATTTCTCTAAATAGCTTTTTATGCCACAATTACGGTTCATAATGCGGCATCAACTAAATCAAATACTTTGCTTGGATAACGGTTAAGTTAAAGGGTACAGGGTATGGGTGAAGGTAACTACAACAACAAAACTGCCGTTTCTTGGCCAGAAAAAAGGAAATGATACTACCACATAATTCCTGGTTTTAGTTTGAAATTATTGTGTGGACATGGTATGTGGAAGATTATTGCGGAGGGAGAATCTTACAAAACTTTGGTTAGCCCTAAAATTAGTTAAAAACTTAACTTAGATATCCCTGTGCTTAGAAGAGTTGTATTAAAACTAATTTAAATTAAATTAGCATAAATCTTGGGCAGCAGCTGGTCAATGCTCATCGCCCACATGGCCCCCATTGAATTCAGCCTGAAATTCGCGTATGCTCACATATGTGCCAGTTACGAAGCCCACAATGCCAAACAAAATCAGTCCCGAGTTCTTCCACAGTCGCCACTTGAAACGCCCATAGCCCGGATCCTCATTATATACAGCCAATTCGATAGTCGCCGGCACAATCATGCCGAGCGTGCTGAGGCAAACTGCGCCTATGAGCGAGATGAATGGTCCCAGATTGGGCAACGCAACAGCAATGCCACAGCAAAGAATCTGTAAAAGTGCAATGACATTGTAATATTAACCAAAGTAAAAATTTAGGTACGAATTTATCAGCACTTACCACCAAGCTGACACGTAAGGCGTACTCGCAAATATTCTGACGCCCCGCAGAAATTTTGCTCTCAATGCCCTTCCACAGAATGCTGACGGGTACGTAGAACTGTAGAGTGAAAGTGAAAAATATGGCAATGGCAATCATAAGCTTTACGGATTGCGCCAATCTGCAAGCAGAGAATTTAATTAGTTCCAGAGATTAACATGTGGCTCCAGCAACTCACTTATCTTCCAGGGGCAGATTCAGCGTAATGCTAGCCTCAGTGTCAGGTCCATACTTCAGGAAGCCAAAGAAGCCGACCAGAGTGTAAAGGCTTATGACCAGACCCATGCCCAGATTCAGCACCGAGGGACAGCCAATGAAATGCTTGGGATTCTTCATGTCATTTTCCAGGGACATAACTACACCGATGCCCTCCAGTGCAAAGATGACCGTGCCAAAGAACAATGGCCATTGCACTGGTGAAACGATACCTGCTCGCTCATTTGGTGCTGGCAGATCCGAAAACATGTAGACAAACGTTATGACAATGCCCACAAACATCAAAACATTGGCAATCATCGAGAAGGGCGTCAGAAACTTAAGGTTGCGCACCAGGCACATGAAGACCAAAGGTGCCGAAACAATCACAATCCACAAGCGCACACTAATTGCCGTTTCCATATAGACGCCAACCACCTGCTCCAAATTGGTCGCCACAAATACCAGATAGATGCAACAGCAGCCAAGCAGATCGATCACCAGAAAAGTATTCACCATGAAGCGAATGAAGCGGGACCATTTATTTAACGAGGGTGGACCATCCAGAAATGCCTGCTCAGCCACATCTGCAAATCCCATCATAGGTATCTTTCGGCGCCTGCACAATATGTGCGCACATTTTACAAGTATGTGGACGCAGTAGGTACACAGGGCGCCCACGGCTAGCGTGCCTACCAGACCGAACCACAGGCCGGCATTGGCGAAGGCCATGGGCATGGCCAGAATGCCCGAGCCGAGTGATCCCTTTAGCAGATGCATGAAGGTCTCCAAATCACTAGAAATCGAAATGAACCCAATTCAATAATTGACATTTTCTGAACTGACGCAGACATTTCAAATATTATACGCAAATACTTATCATATAATATCTATAATATGCAATTCTTGTCCGGCTGCCAAAACAAAAGTTAAGTTGCATCAAAATATTTACGAAAAATAAGAGAAATCTGTCGAATGCCTTTTCTTTTTTTTTTTGCTGCGTTGTGATGTCTAGTCAGCCATATAGATAATATATATCGCGTGTACATATTTAGGCATACACGCATACACACATACATACATGCGATATTTAATTGTTTTGTTACGTTAATCGTTGATGAATCAATTCTAAAACGTGATTCGATTGAATGCAAATTATACTAAAATAGAAGCGCACCAACTTAATTTGTGTGTCAAACATATTTTACCCAACCCAATTTTGTTTGTCAGTGCACAATACGCAGCCCCTGCCTCCCTCCTCTCTCCCTCTATCTATATCTCTCTCTCGCTCTCTTCTCTTCTTGAGCTGATCAGCAGACAACGTTACAGATTTTACAGCGTGAATGAATCGGGCAGCAATATTTTGACATTTGTTTTTGTTTTTTCTATTTTTCTCATTTTTCGCTTGCGAATTTACTTTATTTTTAGTGCGAAAGCTTTTCACACAAAGTCCAAGGACAATGTCAATAAAATTGCACATGCATTTCCGTTGTTTTTTTCTTTTCGTTGAAATAGGAAAATGTGAGTAGATAAATCAAAGTCTAGGCAAAGTTCAATGACGTTAATTAATTTGTTAGTCATTGAACGCACTTATCAGCTCTTTATATAAGATAATTCAAATCGAGTTACCGAAAAACCTTTTATCAAACATTTAAAATTGAAATATATATCTGCTTTGTAGCTCAAGGATTGATTTGGCTAAAACTTGTATCGTCACCAGTACTTTTTAACATAATACTTACGATGTTGGATGCTCGACCTTACGATGCTCGAAAGGATTGTAGTTGCCATCCTCGCCATCATCGCCACCTTTTTTGCGCGCCAGGACCAAAGGGAGGGTGGAGCCTGCCGCCTGCTGGACCGGCACATCGGCCATGTCGGACCGTATGAATCTGTCCGATGAATACATTTCAAACATTGTAGTTGACGAATTGTTTTCGATATTCTTGTACATTTTGGACAGCAAACGCAAAATTGTATCAAACGCAAACACTTATTGATTGGTGTGCGCGCTACAGTTACGTTAGCTATGGCATCGAATACTAAAATGAAAGGCACTCACTTGGGCTGGCTTATGCTCGCATTGTTCCTGTTGCCATTTTTCTTCTCGCTATCGTAGACCGTCACAACCGTCGGAATTTTCTGCAACAAAAAAAAAAAGAGATCGTAGATCGTTGAGCAATCGCAAATAAGAAATTTAAAGAAGTGCAACGAATGCAGAGTGCAGAAGAGCGCAATCTTATGTAAATCAGCCAGCTGGCCAGCTGCTGAGAGCTATACCCTGATCGATGCCAAGAATGATTTACGTAGCAAGATCTATGCAGTTTTTATGGCCAATTTGGGTGGCTCAGGAACGAGCATCAATGGTTACTTATTGCTGGATTTACAGTTATGTGACCTTGACAAACACAGTGCACAATGTCAAATTTCTACGTGTGTCTCACTTAACATTCAAGTGTATTGAACAACTTGAGAATCACTCTTGTGATGTGTGTTGTCTGTTGGTAAACAAAACGCCCGACAATGCAACGTTTAGTATAATGTTTTTTTTGGCAACACGCGTCGTGTGCGCAATATTCAAGTTCAATAGTAAAACTGTTATGCGGAAGAAGAAAAACTATGCTTTCATGCACACACACACACACCAAGAGAAGGTTTATTCTTTCAATCACACCTGCTGATCCAAACTGGTGGCACTTAACGATGTGGTCATTACAGCAGCACCACTCGACAGTGCCGGCGGTGGACCGCCCTGTTTCAACGACATTTTCAACCGCTGGCGACTGAGCGCCGCACTGGACAGACGCGATTCCCGTGTCTTAGGGCCAAAGTTGCTCAGCTCTTGGTCTTGCTGCACAGGACGCTGCGGCAATGGCGGTTTTCCGGCGTTGGCGTTCAGCTTGAAGGCGTTGCGCTACACGTGTCTGAGTCGAGTTCAAGAAAAAATTAAAAATCGAAAGCTTAACCGACATGCGCGACGCTTGCATGTGCAATTCCAGTGAGATACAATAGAAATCTGTTCGCGTTCACGGTCAATGTCATCCGTTTTTATGCACTTTTGTGGCCAAAATGAAAAGCGACAGCCACACTGAGAGAGATGTTTGCGTTCTTTAAACACAAATAAATAGTGGACACTCGGGAGACGGTCGCATACAACCACAAAACCCGCTGCAGCAGCACTGAGCAGCTAGTTTGTGACGGGTTTTGTTCGGAACGATATATTTCGGCTGCTGTGTAACTATGTATTTAGATATATTTTGTTGGGGTGCAGCAGCATTCACAATTCTCGATGTCGTCATCAGCTGCTTTGGCTTGGCCTTTATTGTTTCCTATATGATCACACGTGTGCCGGGAGAGAGAGGCGCGCGCGCGGCTATTAAAAAAAAGCACATCTCAGCGAGTGCTCCCACATATAAATTGATCAAAATCAGTGCGACGCCGAATGCGACATGATACGACAACTATAGCCAGTGCGACGTAAATAAAATTAATGAGGAAGCTGTAAATTTGCACAAAAAATGTGCGAAAATGATATATGAGTGCAACAACAAGAACGGCTAATTCGCATAAACCATAAACCATTCCATATTTTGGTAATTTCTTTTTATTTATTTGTTCCCCCAAATTAAATCAGCTGCCTGCCATCAGGTTGACATTTTTGACAGCTATTTGGTTGATTAGAAAATTGCTACACAATTTACAAATTAACTCATTTATTTATCGCTGCGTTAAAAGCATGCCAACAAAAATTGTATAATTTAAAACAAACAGTGAGAAACGACAGTGCGTATACTTGTTATGGGTTTGATCTGGCGCCATCTAGGGTAATGCACTGCAAGCTTTGTTACACATGCGCCACACTGAACAGCGGCGAATGCGAAACAGCTGTGCGGCGAAATAGGCAACAAATGTTTGCGACGAAAACGCGCCGAATTCGATAGATGGATGTAAAATTCATGTGATATATTTGTGAAAGGCATACGATGTAATTATATTAAATGTTATTTTATAAGTATATTCACCAGTTTATTAAACATATTGTAATATTATTGAAATTCTTTTTTAATATTTGCCATTTTGTAAAATTAAGTATGGCAAACATAAGAAGCTAACAAAATGTGTTTTTATAATTTTGCTTACGCTCGATTAGTTCTGAGCGTATGCCAAAAAAAAAAGAAACAACTTAACAGCTTTACGCGTCGGTTCACTATACACAATGCGCAAATGCATAAACAAACAAAAACAAACGCATTCAATGCTTGGAACTCTTTCAATGTAGACTACAAGATACCCTTGCCTTATAGACGCAATATGCCCTGCTTACTGTTTGGGTAGAGGGTATAATTTCTGCATATGTAAATTGCTTTCGAGCTAAAAATAGTTAATGCAATAGTTAGGCAGCTGTGCGGACAGAAATTCTACTGCACTGTGACGCAAGCTTATCTAATAATATATAATAATATTTATATAATAGCCATTTAAACACCACTTCGACAGTCATTCAGTCAATCAGTCGCGTGCAACAATACGCTTGCTTGTCGAAAGCGTTCACATTACGACTCGGAAACTTCATGTACTATAGAATAGCTGCAAAAAATGCAATTTGTGCTAACATTTAATTGGCGGCAACAGCTACGCAAATACCGAGAGCATTGCAAAAAGTGCAACAAGTAAAACTCGAAAGATGCACTGAGAAAAAAATTATATTATTATAGTTATAAAATAATTATAATTATTATACCATTTTTATCAATTTTTAATAGGTTCAGGGTATAAATAGCTGATGTAAGACATTTAAGAAAATACACTGGAAAATATACATTCCAAATTTTAGAAAAATATACCATGCAATTAAGAGAATAAAAACTCTGGTTTAAAGATACAAACAACTTTCCGTTTTATCCTTTCTTCGATTCAGGTCGATTTTTTTCTGAATTCAAATAGAACCTAAAAGCAAACTGACAGCCATGCGAAAGAGTGGAGAGCACTCAACACGTGTCACTGGCTCGGTTCAAGTTCAATATGGCGAAAAGTGCCGTTAGCATTTATGGCGTAGTATGGCGAACTGAGACCTTGCTAAAGAGATAAAGCGCTGCTTCTAATGAGATTCTGGGTATGGAAATAAATTAACTGTATTGTGCAGAAATGTATAGAAACTTCTAATGAATATTTGCAGAATGATTTAATTGCTTTAGAAAATTGAATTGCATGAGTGCTCGATATGGTTTATATAAAACAAACAAATTGTATGGGCGTAGTCGACAATTATATACCCAGCCCCAGTTGTACCTAGGCTTATATTACAAAATGTGCAGGCTACGAGCATTACACCAATATTAACAAATGTCTGTTATTGTTTCTGCCTGATATGATTAAGCTTACTTATCCCATGAAACTATCGAAACTTAAGTAAAAGTACGTTTAGCATAAGCATAAGTCAAATTGAGTAATTTTTAATAGCAACATCAATCATTTTGATAACGATAGAAAATGAAATAAAAAATCTCTAAGCAATCTGAAAACGTCTTGCGACAATTGTTAGTAATGAAAATTCGCCAATACCTTTTCTGCTTACACTTCTGCAGTCCTCCTGCTTAAAATGCAATGACTAAGTTATAAATTTACACATTCACAGGCGTACGGGAGCCGCAGTGAACATGCAATTATGTACTTTTGTAATTAAAACTGTCAAGCCTGCGGTCTGTCGATAGTTTTGAATGCATATCATTGAACTTACATAAGCGAGTGGAAGACAAAACAGAACAGAAATAGAAGCAGCGGTGAAAAAAATCGAAAACGGCAATAGCAGCACAAAACAATTTAGCAAACAAACGCCAACAAATTGCAGTGGAAAATTTTTTACAAAACTGGCTAAAATACTTCGCAAATGCAAGCAAATACAAAATAAATAAAATAAGTGCAAAATGTGTGCGTCACGTTGCCAGAAAATAATGACGGGGAATGGAAGTGGCACAGCTCAGCGCAAGTCAACTTAGCACATTTCTAGCGAAAACTGTCAGCAAATCGTCAATGCAAACTCGTCGATTTATGGCCAGCCCCAAGTATTAGGAAACCGTCTTCTGAAAAAGTGCATTGGAGTGCCTGCAAATGCATAGATAAGATAGTAAAGCCTGAATAATGCATGTGTCAGATACAGAAATGCTATAATTTCAAGACATAGCCCAAATCGGGAGTCAATTAGAGAACGCTTTGTTTTTGCAAATTGAAACCGCTTCTGATCCAATATAAATATAAATTAATATACATTATATACATCCATATGAGAAATTAAAGAATGTGAGACGTTGCAGACAGGTTTCAAGTGCAACGATGCTGACGCAATTATGCCTCATACAAAAGACAGAGACAAGGATAAAGCACATGGAGTGTTAGCCAGAGTGAGAGAGGTTCAGCTGTATCAATAATTGCATTACAAGTGTTGAGAGAGCGTTCGTCACACTTGCAGAGTCCGACTTTAATGCTTACGGCATGGAAAATTATCAAACGCAATCGAATTTTGCGTTGTGCCATTTAAAGAAAACCAATGCAGCAAAAAAATGATCAACGGCGCTTGCGTAGCAGCAGCATAAATAATCACCAGAATCTTCAAGTCAAAGTACAACATACTTTACTTTTTTTGTTCATTTTGCCACGAAATTTAAAGCGTACAGCACAAAAATTGAAACCCTGAAAAACGCTGACGCAGGTAGAAGAAGAAGAAAGGCGACGTATGCATTCGCGGTGGCATATACGGTTTTCTGTATGCCCTACTTCGTCCCCTACCACGTACGTACCCGTAACGAATTCGAATCCCAGCCAGGCAGACATAAAAGTGCAAGGAACTCGCACAGTCAGCGAGCGGAAAATTCCACTGTTCATAAAGAAAAAAAAAAAACAAGAGGAAGACAACAAACATTAGCAACAACAACAACAACATCAGCTATAACTCGAATAGGCGATGCTTGACTCCAGAAGCAGCGTTGAGGGTGGAAATGTTTCTGTGCTTGTATGTTACTCATAACGACAACAATAACAGGGACAAACGAAACTAAAACAAAAACTCCCCGAAATTAGACTTTAGTTTTGGAACACTTGGTCTTGTTATCAATTTAAATACAGCAAATGATTTGCATGGCCCAATTTATTCAAACGTCGATCAATCAATGAAAATAAGTGATTTGTTTAGGGTTAGGAACTAACTCTGTTTAGTTGGAGTGATTAGTAATTAATATCACTTGATGGAGTACGTGTGTCACATGTGGTTATGAATGAATCAGTACCCCTAAAGAGTAATCAGTAACTCACGATAAATAAGCGATAATATTGTAGGTTTTGCTAACATCTGTTGGCAAATCAAAATATGTTTGTCGTGAAATTATGAGCAGTATATATTTCATAGCCCGATAACTATTTTTAAAATGGAGAAAATGCATTTGTACACTTGCACAACTAATTGCTGATTAGATTAGAATAATGTTGCGGCTTAATCTTCACACGCCATTTTCATCACTTCAACATTGAGCTCCCTGAAAGGGGTCGATTAACCGATTCGAGCTATTTCGATATCGAATCTAGAGCTAGGTGGGCAGCTACTTACGGTATATTCCGTTGGTGCCAGGGGCGTGCGTGAATCGCTTTTGTGAAAACTCATGTTCACCGCAGCACAAATCCTGGAGGGGGTGCTATCCTGTCGGCAATGGCAACCGTCGCGCGCTTAACGTATTTCGTAAACTCTCGGTAAACGCGCTGCGTTGCGGTTTCCAGAAATTTCCAAGCACTTTTTACAATACAAAATAGAATGCAATGTGGAAATTTAGTGCAAAAAAATTGGGAATTTATTAATTTTGTATAAAAGATAAAATGCAATATTACTAATGCAATTCTCAACAACTTGCGACCGCTGAGGCTATGTAAAAAATAGGCAACGTTTTTCTATTTTCCTCTTTTATTTTTTCTTAACGTCGGGGGAAATTTTAAACGTTGCCAACACGTTGCAATGAATTTTTTAAAGTTCTGTCAACCGCACAGTTTGACAAGCAGAACATGAATGCGAACCTTCGCGAGTACAATACTCGCTTTGACGATGTAACGGGCAACAATAAGAGAAATATAGACACAATGATTGAAAGAGATAGAGAGATAGAGATAGAGAGAGAGAGAGAGAGAGAGGGAGAGA